GCCCTAAATTTTCTAAGGTATTCTTGGAGTTCGATGATCATCTGATCTTCCCACGGGGCACGAACTTCTTTGGCAAGCAATTGTTGGAGCATGTCCCAATTCATTTTATATTGTTGCATCTGAATGTTTCTCTCCTCTAGCTCAATTTGCTTTTGTTTTCTAGCTTCTTTCTTCTTATCCAACTCGAGCCTTTCCAAATCTCTGTCAACGGCCTTATCCCTCATCTCGCCGTACAGTTTAAGTTTGTCACCAAATGATTCGAAAGTATCAAGTGCTTGAGTTGTTACTTCCTTGCCCTTCAACCTCGACTTAGCCTTCTTCGAACCATCAGAACGTGGTACAAACTCATCAGTAAAAACGTCTCCACTTGTTGGTGTATTTGGTGTTGATCCACCATCTTCATCCCTTGATGTCTTTCCGCTACTACCGCTCTCCGGGGTATTAACCGTCGCAGGCTTCTTTGATGGACGACCACGTTCTGACACAAGAACTTTTTGCTCAAGAATAGAACGATATCTATCCCACTTCTTAAGTTGGAGCCACTCTTTATAGAACTGGAACTTCCCATATGAGTTCTTATGGATCTTGTGGGCCTTAGCAATCACATCATCAGCATTTTGCCCACTATGCATCCTTGCCTTGTCGATGCTACCACACCACTTGACAACTGCCGGAGCAATTCTTAACCACTGTCCCTTCAGACTACCAACGGTTCCGATGGTGATCTCCTCCGGGTTTGCTTTTCTTGCATCTTCGTAGGACGCTAGAACCCTTTGCCAAAATACATTTGATCTTTGATTTGTTCCGGTAATTTGATCGTTGGTTGTGTTCATGTACGCAGAGATTAAAGCAGTTGTCTCTGCATCATCCCAAATTTTTTTATCGGGTTCTTCAATGGGTTTAGGAGTGGGATGAGGTGAAGATTGGAAGGTTGGCTGTGTTAGGAGTTCGGTGTAGTTCATTTGGGTGCATGGAACATCCAATTCCTCCTCCTCATCATCGTCGTCTTCATCGTCATCAAGTGCATAATTTTCGTCTGTGCTCCCGCCTCCTCCAGGTGTTGACTGATGAGAATAACCACTTCCCGAACCATATTCACTATAATTTTGTTGGTTAATTGGTTCAGTTGAGAAGTTTGATTGACTAGGTTGAGCGTAGTTGAAGCTTATTGGATAATTTTGGCTATTTCCCTCAAAATTCATGGTGAAACTTTGAGGGATTACTTGTGGAGAATTTTGTGGGTGATTACCGGGGGGGTTGAACCCAATTTTCTTGGTGTATTCTATAATTTGGTGGATTTTGTTGTGGATTTTTTTTGGATTTACGCTTTGTTTGAGGTTTTAGATTATTAAAAGCATAATTAGGAATGTTTGGATCCATAATTTGTAATTTTTTGGCTAGTTTTGTGAAGAAATCATATTAAAATACAAACTATGGTTTAAAAAGAGGTAGTTTTTGAGGTTGTCGAAACTATATCAATATGGGTGTCTATTTATAGAGAATGAAAAAATATGACCGTTGGTAATTTTTTTTTTTTAATTATATGTTAAAAGTTATTCACGTTACAAAAATTGTAACGTTACAATTATTTGTAATGGTAATAACCAATCCATCCACTTATACTAGTGACAAGTGGAACAATCTCACACATTCCCTTTTGATTTTTTTTTTTTTAATTTCTACTAGTTTTCACGTGCCTTTTTGGTGCAAAAGTAACTCTTTGTCAGACAAATAATTTTTGATGAACCGTTCGCTTTTCCAAACCATTTGTATTTGTTCATTGCACTGTTCATCAACCTCTAATTTTTTTAATATTATTTTATGTAAACAGTAAAGCAAATAATTTTTTCCATTCATTGTTAAAGGGTGCTCTAAGGTTAGTAGGGTTTCGATTTTTCGAAGGAGGGTTTTAGGGTTAGGTTGAGTGGGATTCCGATCGGCACGGTGGGTTTCTGGGTGGCGGTGGTTTGGGGTCGTGGTTGAGTGGTGGTTTTGGGGTCTGGGTTTGGATGGTGGTGGCTAAAGTGGTGTGGCTGAGGTGGTGGTAGGTTTTTTTTTTAAAAAAAAATTTGATTTTACATTTTTGAAAATTTTGACATTTGCTACCAGCGAAACCTTCTTGTGTTACATTTGCTACTTGTTTAATTTTTTATTTTACTTTACTACCACCCAAATTCCTTAACTATATATTTCACTACCAGATAAGGTTTCGGTTAGGGGTGAAAGTTCGGTATTTGGTTTGGATTTTACACCAAACTAAATCCTAACCGAATTTAGATCAATCCAATCCATTCTTAACCGAAATAATTTTATTTTGAAAATTGAATCCAAATCGAACCGAATTTTACCCAAAATCGAAACCAAACAAGCAAATTCATACACTGTTGTTCGAAATTCAAGAAAAATAAAAACAAAAAAGCAAATCCATTCACTATATCGTTCGAAATTCAAGCAAAATCAAACCAAATAAGCAAAGAAAATTCAATATTCACTGTAAACCCTTAAAAAATCAACAAATTTAAAGAGTTTAGATGATTAACATCAAACATATTAGAAATCGACAAAATTATAATACATACACTTCAATAATTCTTCAAATTAACACTAAAATTGAAAATAACGCAGATCTAAGAGTTAATATAGTGCATATGTACATATCTCTTCATCAAATCAAGGCTTCAAAACATCAACTAAGAAGGGAGAAGCCGATAATTGCGAGACTTGAAAGAGGAGAGAAGCCGAAGAATTACCACCGGTGAGGGTGGTCGACTGGTCGTGGCTGGCGGTGAAGGAGCGCACACACAACTACACAAGCAGTGGTGGTAAGAAACCGTGACTGAGAGAGGTACTGAGAAACCGTGACTGGTACGATGGAGGTGGTAAGAAAAAGGGGAGTACGAAGACGCAACACCGGAACTAAGCTCGATCGGAGGGAGTATGTACGAACACGCAACACGAAATGAGGTGGTGGTGATGATGACGACTTACATCGTTACATTTGTTTTTGTTTTTGTTTTTGTTTTTCTCATCATCATATCTAAGGTTTAATAATATGATGATGATGACGACTTACATCGTTACATTTGGTGATTGTTGTTAATCTTGGCAAATTAATTTCATCAGCCCATTCAACTTGAATTTTCAGAGTAGTGGTTAATTCTTTTTCGGTTAGCAGTGGTGTCTCAATGTTTGGATATTTTTCGAAAAGGTAATCACACGATATCAATTTGGAGATGTTTGATTAATTTGATTGTATTATTTATTATGTGTAATCACACGAACCTTAATCCTTGAAGTTGTTTATTTAATAATTGATTATTGTTTGTATTGATTATATTTTGTATTATTATATGTAAATTTTATGATTTATTTGTATGATCAAGTTTTATATATATGTGATTAGTTGTGTATGTATTGTATTATATGATTCTAATTGCCGTATTATTTTTGTGGTATTGATTGATTGTGTTATTTTTTCTAGGGTTTTTAATGTTGTTTCTATAGGGAGTATTGTTCTTCTGGTTTTAGATTTATTAATGCCTTTTTGGGTTGAGAATTGATTACATTTGGGTTATTAGTATGATTTGCCCTAAGAGTTGATATATTTATAAATTGAATTATTATGTTATTTGGAAACATGTGCCATTGTTGAGATACTATGTGAATGATTATTTGATCGAAGTAAAAGGTTGAGAAATTATTATTTTGTTATTGGTTTGAGGCTAGGCGTTATAGATCTTAGTCCTTGGCATGTTGGTAATGAGATAATGATCATGAGTTAAGAATGAGGTACAATCTTTATTATTTATTTTTCTATGGTCCCCTATAGTGGGAATTGGCCCGTATGTGGTCTGGTTCAAGGTGTTTTCTGGTTATTGGGAGTATTCAAGTTTTTATACTTGTTGGTTTTATTCAAATTACCCATGTCCAAGGCTAGGTATAGAACAACGAGCATGGCACACTTATGGGTTATATGAGTTGATTGAGTAAAAGTTCGTATTATTATTCGAGGTTGAGTTGATAAAGGTTATTTTTCAGAGTACAATGTGTAATGTAGTTCTAAACTACATTGTTTAAGTGAGCTAATAATATTAATTATTATATTATTCTTTGTATTCTGATATGTGGTGATTACTCAGCTTTGCTGATTGCGTGCTTTTGTGTGTGTCTTTCTTTGGTCATGGCCTTCGCCTTTCAATGACTCTATAATGATCCAATCTTTACACTTGTAATATTGGGGAGCAGACTCATCATAGGTGTTTACATATATAGTTTGGACTTGCATCTAGGTGGTGGGATTTTAAGTGGAGAGTTGGTTATTGTTCGCAGTTTATTTCTTTTCATAAGTTTGAATTTATTTAAAATCTGGTTTTATTTATTTACTACTTTTGTTGGGTTTTGAATAAGGGCCTTAATGGTTCCAACTTGTATCACTTAATTTTGGTTTCATTCGTTGGTTTTGAAATTTACTTACAAACTGATTTAGTTTTTCCACTACTAATATTTGATATAGCCTTAATGTTTGAACACGTGGCGGTAGCACGCCAGTAATTCTCTTAGATTTTGTTCAAGTTATTCACGGGTTTAAAGAGAGAATTATTGGGGTGTTACACGAAAATTGTGAAAAGATGAGGGAGGATTAGGGTTTTGCTATATATATATGTAGGGGAATTGGGCTGGGATTATTTGGGCTTACAAAATTTCGGTTTGGATTTCGGTTTTCAGTTTTTTGGGGCCCCAAACCGAAATATTTCGGTTTCAGTTTTTTGGAACCGATCCAAACCGAAAATCGAAAAAACCGAACCGAATTTCTAATTCGGTTTGGTTTGGATTGGTTTTCGATTTTTGTCCAAATTACTTTCACCCCTAGTTTCCGTCAATGTAGCTGTTAAGTAGGGCCTAATATTTCATTAAATTTATCCATCACCACACCAGGCCAGTTTATTAACCTATGCCACACTAACCACTCACCAACATTCCCCTATTCCCAGCTCCTCGCGCAAACACCACACAAACCCCGACCCCTGTCAGTCGCACCTCCAACATCATCAACATCACACCATCATTAACATCACACCAAACCACCACAACTGCCACAAGCGTAACAACTACCCACAACACAAAACCACTACAACTCCCTTGCTTTCTCCAACATCACTAAGCTCAGCCCACACTTCAACCCCCATCGCAACACTGCATCGAGCACCGCTTGAACCAACATTCCCGCTTACAATACCACCGCAAGAAGTCGCGCTCCACCAGCAGCCCCACACTACCATCAATTGAAGCCAACAGTCCAATCGAACAAATAATAACCCGCAAAAAGCTCTAATTCAGCTCACGATTTCAGCATTTGTAGCCCCGCAATTGGCAATTTGCACCCACGGAATTAATGAAATTGGGCGGCTGAGATGTATTGAACCTCCCAATCGCTCCTTGCCTAGCCTTGAAACCCTAGCGACCAGGGTTTTCAAGGGTGGAGGAAGAACGATTTGGGGGTTTCAAGGGTAGAAGATGGGTTTTTCTAGGGTTTTGTCGGAAGGGAAGAGGCTTCAGGTAAGGAATTGTGGTTTAGGGGCAAGGAGAGCCTGTCGCCGGCGAAGGAGAGAGGGTGGCAGTGAGGTTTTGGCCTTCGGGAAGCATTGATGGAGGAAAGGGAGGTGGATGGAAGGTGGCAGGGATGGAGGGGTGGCTGGACCTCACTAACGATAACGGTAACATCATAAGTCATGCATCTGGTAAGTGAAATATATTTTATTGGAATTTGAGTGGTACTTTTTAAAAATAAAATATTAAATAGGTAGCAAATATGACACAAGGTTTTTTCGCAGTTAGCAAATGTCAAATTTTTCTTTGATTAATTATTTATTTAATTTTGGACAAATCAAGTTGTGACATGTGTAAATTAAACTTGATAAAAAATAATACTTCCTCAACCGGTTAGCAGTTACTCGAGACCATTATGAGCGGATTGAGTATAATTTTTGGATTATTTAAAACTAATTCAAATGTGGGAATTATTCTGGGCAGACGTTCTAAAGGTGAGATTATTCTGACCAATCTTTTCGAAAATAAAAAAATACTTCCTCTGTCCTATTTTATTGCTCCATTTAACTATGCACGGTCTCCAAGACAAGTATTAGAACGTTTATATCTTTATTTCCATACACGTAAAAATTAAAAAAACGTGATATTAATAAAATATAAAATGAGACGAATATAATAAGACCACTCATGAGAGTTATGACTATATTACCTTTTATAGATTAACGACAATTTAAGGTCAAAGTTTTTAAAGTTTGACCCAAAAAATGGTAATAGGGTAAAAATAAAGGGACGGAGGGAGTATACATTTTTCATTTCATGAATGACGATTAGAATAGCCCTTTCCCTATATAAAGAAAACTTCGATTTTCTCACAGCTGCACCTACTCCCTCCCTTCCTATAAAGCCTGCTCTTCTTTCTCTCCTCCATTGAAAGCAGATTCTGAGGTAAGATATCTTTACTTTCTATACTTTTTAATTATCGAATATCAATTTTACAATTTAGTATTAGTCGTTGATTTAATGGTAAGTATATTCAATTTAGGGTATAGATTATTGAACTACTAATTATAATTACTCAAGTTACTGCTATTAGGCTTTATATACTCTTGTATTACGAATTGTGATACCCATTTTTGCCTCTTGATCTCTTGGTCTTTTGACAATTATTATATTATATATTGTTTAAATGGTTGCATTTGGATTTGATGCACATATAGCTTTTTGGTTATTTGAAATGTGTTTTTAATTTGATGTATATATTCTTTGTTTCAATCATGAATTCCTTCGAACTCATGATCTTATTCATGTTCAATAGAACTCATTCCCAAAGGAGTGGCATGCTTGTTTTGATTTGCGTCATTACATTTGCGTACCTGATTACTGTGAGGGTTCTGAACCGATCTATAACTACTTTCGTGAGAGCATTAGTCCCAAAATGATTTGGGTCAGCTAACATGAATCGTTATAAGGAATCGTACGATATAATACTTCACTTTCTTTCTTACCCAAGTTTAAAATTAAAAAAAAATAATAGCATGTACGAGTATCATTTATGATATAGTGTTTCACTGTTGGTCTAGTTTATTTTCTTAAAATAGATATAAATTAGATTAAAATTTCAAAAAAAAGAAACTGATTGATGTATGCTCGATGTGTGTGTCACTTGCTAAATGGGAATTGTACTAGGCTCCCTAATCGTTTTGTTAGAAAAGCATACGGTGTAGTTTTGTGTGCAATTCTTGATCTATGCTGTCGATAGACGTTTATATGGCTTGGTGATCTAGATGTTAAAGTCAGGCAACTAATGTGGATAGTTCTTGTAAAGATAATAAGGAAAAAACTAAATCCAAGGCCTCGGTTATTGGAATTTCTCTAAACGAACTCTCTTACTGAAATGGTTGATGTCTTATGCTTTAGAAATTGTTGATTAGGGGAATGTTTCTATTGTCCTATGCTTCAAAAATGGGTTGATACATTATGCTCTAGATGGCAAAGCAATGGGTGAGCTTTCTACCGTTTTTTTTGTTAATTTTTCCTACTTGGTGAGTTGGTGGGTCTAGCTTTGATTAGATTTGATTAACTGCATTACTTGGCCATTGGCATTGATATGTTTTTGGAAAAGGAAAGCTGCTTTTTCTTGAGTTACTAACCCGCTGCTGCTGCATGCTTGTAGGTTGCTTTTATATTCTATTTCATCTGTAGCACATGATGGCCGCAACAACAGCTACAAACTTTTCCGCTGCATCAATTGCTTCCGGCGATGTAAAGGTAGGATTGGTTCCAAAAATGAAGTCATCAGGGCTACAGATGAAATCTACCCATGATTTTAGGGATTTCAGTGGTCTTAAAGCAGCCGCATCTCTAACCTGTGAATCAGAGTCTTCGTTTCTTGGTAAAGATGGTGTTATTGCCCTGCGAAATTCTTTCCAAACAAAAGCTGTGAAAGAAAACATCCAGTCCCTTGCCTCTCTGCAGCCAAAGATTCAAGCTTCCTTTAAAGTGGCCGTTCTTGGAGCTGCTGGAGGGATTGGTCAACCATTATCACTTCTGGTCAAAATGTCCCCACTGGTCTCGACTCTTCATCTCTATGATATTGCAAATGTCAAGGGAGTTGCTGCGGACCTAAGCCATTGCAATACACCCTCAGAAGCTTTAGCTTTCACTGGGCCTGAGCAGTTAGGAGATGCCCTAAAAGGGGTGGATGTAGTTGTTATCCCTGCTGGTGTTCCAAGAAAACCAGGAATGACTCGAGATGACCTCTTTAATATCAATGCTGGCATAGTGAAGACTTTGGTTGAAGCAGTTGCTGACAACTGTCCAGATGCCTTTATTCACATAATCAGCAACCCTGTGAATTCAACTGTGCCAATTGCTGCAGAGGTGCTGAAGCAAAAGGGTGTTTATAATCCTAAGAAGCTTTTTGGTGTCACTACTCTAGATGTTGTTCGGGCAAACACATTTGTTGCACAAAAAAAGAATCTGAAACTCATTGATGTAGATGTGCCAGTGATTGGTGGACATGCTGGTATAACCATTTTGCCTCTATTGTCTAAGACAAAACCCTCTGCGAGCTTTACTGATGAAGAGATAGAAGAACTAACTGTAAGAATTCAGAATGCTGGGACAGAGGTTGTGGAAGCCAAAGCTGGGGCTGGTTCTGCGACACTGTCTATGGCCTATGCTGCTGCTAGATTTGTGGAGTCTTCTCTTCGTGCTCTTGATGGAGACTCAGATGTGTATGAGTGCTCGTTTGTGCAGTCGGAGTTAACTGATCTTCCTTTCTTCGCATCAAGAATTAAGCTGGGAAAGAATGGAGTAGAAGCTTTTCTGAATTCTGACCTGCAAGGCCTAACTGACTATGAATCCAAGGCTCTTGAAGCTCTTAAGCCTGAACTCAGAGCTAGCATTGAGAAGGGTATTGCTTTTGCTAACAAATAATCAGTTAATGCTTGATCTTCTCTTGAAGGTATGTAGTTCGGCATGAAAATGCCCAGAATTTTATGATGTTAGACTTGGTCGTCACTCTCATTTTTGTAGCTTGATAGAGTTTAATTTCCATTTAAAAATAATTGTGTGAGGCTCAAATGTTTTTTGAGAGGCTTTGGTGAAGCAACTTGGTTTGTGATCTCTGCTGTGAGAAAAGGCTTTTATTGTTTTTATTGTCGGTGCTCTCTATCATGTTTAAGTTGTTTGATGTCTGTAAATTGGCTAGAGCAGTGATTTCTCAAGCCAAGCCTGTTGTAGCTTGAACAGAGCTACCGAATATTTTGTTGAGATCAGTTTGAAAATAATGTCAGTGAATTGTGGCTGCTTCTATCATTCTAAGCTTGTGCTCTCTAGATTGGTGTTTCTTGTCATTTAATTCTAATTGACAACTAGTTATGGCTTCCCAGTTCCGATGCCGTACGTGCTTATTCTGGCGACCATAAAGGATTGCCAAGTACTTGATAGTATTGAGAGAATTGAACATATTTCACTGAGCTAGGATAGTACAATGCGAATTCAAAATGCTACATTGGTCATGGTGGTTTATTAAAATGGGGAGGCCTCTGCTCCATTCTTCTACCTGGTAATGAAATTACTTTGATGAGTTAAGTGAAAATTTCAGAAAAGAACCCATGTACTTGTTCACAACTACAAGCACATCCGTGAGATCTTGTTGAAAAACATATTGTATGAAGATAGGATGAGAGCAATTGAACCAACAGTAATATTAAAATATGATGTGAGGGGATCACTAGTGGGAAAGAAAATAGTACTAAAATACGGCCGTAACAAAAAAGTGGAGCAAGTATTATTGAAAGGGAAGATTTAACCACTTGAACTATCCCTCACTCTCATAATTTAAATAATAATTATATAAAAAACTAAATATAATGGAGAAAGTTGTAATACGATTTTAATTTAAAAGAAGAGACCAATTTAAAATACTTCCTACAGTATAAAATAAACACAAAATAACTAATAAATTAATGATGTCTTATATTGTTTTTCGTAGTTTATAAGCTTTGATAACATTGCAACTTTGTATAAGCTGTTTTCTCAGTTAGAAAAATTATCAATTATTGTACTCCGTTTTTTTTTTTTTTTTTTTTTTTTTTTTTTTTTTTTTTTTTTTTTGACGGGTAATCCATTGGTAAATTAGTAAAGTGTATGTTGAGCATTTTACAATTTGGCTACTAATTTGTTAAACATGCGTGAGAACGTCATGAATATGTGTCAATGTGTGCGTCTGTGTTCATGCAATCATGCTTGTTTTATTATATTCCGTAATAGATATGCCTGTGCGCATGAATGATGACACATTGATTACAAAATATCCGTGCTAACCTGCCATGGTCCATGTATATCTACACTTCACACTTGATTAATACTTATATACGAAGGAGAAGGTTTCTAATGCATTTGTATATTGATGTTTTAGTTCGGCGTTCAAATACTATTAAGGGTACTTGAGGGTAGGGATTCTCTTATTTCTCCTCTACTCCCAACTGTTTGCCCGCATATACTAGACCAAAAAAACTTGAGCGTTGAAGTCTGGTCAAGGTCCTTATCATTAAAATAATAAGAAATTATTGATGCTTCAGCTTTCTACTCAATGGTGTTTAATATTTCCCGCAATTCTGCATAAGGCATAGGAAAAAACTTCTACTCCACAATTGGGCATTGCCGCGTTGGAGTTCAATACAAAATCTGCAAAAGACAAACTTCTAAATATTAATGACATAGTTACATCCAACATAAATGATCAATGACATACTCATTCATGCCTTCTTTTGATATTTCTCTTTTCATGCCTTGTTTCACCTCAATTACCCAATAGAACAAACCTATACAAATTTTGCAGGTGCTCTTTCGCGGGTACAAATCCACGAAAACCACTGCTATGAATGACCGTTAATTGACGTTCCTGAACATCTCAAGAACAAATTAGTGCCATGACATTGTAATACGGTCAAGTCAAATTAGAACTGTGATTAAAAATTTGGGTGTCAATATTTCCTAGGCGTCCAATACTTACTATTTTGTTGTACTGTCAACTAGTCACATGTCTTATCTATTGAGATAAGAAAAGTTTGAATGTGAACAATATTGTACGTTTAAATTTCACATAGTATGATCCCGTCTTTATTTTGTTTGGCCTTAAATTGATAGGAAATGAAGGATACTTGATGTTGTTTGGGAGGCTTACAATATCGTAGATTCGTGGATCTCTACCTCTCTTGGATAAGCTCATATGCATGCCTGATGCAGTGAGCTGTGAGCATACTAGCACAGAACCCCCACTTGGTTTTTTTTTTTTTTTTTTTTTTTTTTTTTTTTTTTTTTTTTTTTTTTTTTTTGGGGTAATACCAGTAACCATATTGCCTCAAGTTTACCAATATACGAAGTATATACTATATAGTGCAGGAAGTAAAGAACAAGTTTTAAGTTACACACTTTTATTCATTTTTACACTGTATATTAGCTTCATCATCCATGAAGATACTTAAGAGTAATGCTGAGTATCAAATCATGATTACGAAAGCAGAAAGACAGTAGCAGTCACACCAAAAGAAATATAAGAATTCTATGCATATGCACAATTCTAGTGCTGTTTCTTCCCGGTTGCCACTTCCCAGGCCTGCAGAATGTGGTTGACAATTTCTTCTACACCTAACCCGTGCTTCACCTGCTCAAAAACAGTTCATCATTGTTAATACAAAACTAAATCAGTGGCACGAGATGTTAAAATGCCCAAAATCAACCAAGCCGATGGGTGGATCTAATATATTTGAATGTATGTAGATGTACCTAAGCTTTTATGAATAGAAACTCTCATGAAGGTCAGATTTTCTAGAACATTTTTAACTCTAGAAACATGTTCTTTAAAGAGCAATTAGTTTTCCACCTCAAGATCTCTAGAGACACATAATGACCTTATTTCTTTTCTCTTAAAAAATCTTCTTCATTTACCAATTTTTTCAAGCCAACAATTTGAAAGAAAAATTATTGCTTTCTTGCTTTAGTTTTTGTGTTCACATGTATCTTAAATGTAAGAAAATTGATAATTGCATAGCAGTGATCCCCCATGGCAGCAAAATGAGGATACATTGTAATAGATCAAGCTTTAGGCAAAATGCTCTGCATTAGCCAAAATAAGTAAATTGAGTCATAAAGCTCAGGGTTGGGACTTAGGACTGTTAGGAGGGAGGGAGAAAATAAAATTTGTTGAAAACCTGAGCAAAGACGAATGGTCCTCCATCTCGCATACGAAGAGCATCTCTCTCCATGACAGCCAAATCAGCTCCAACTGCAGGGGCAAGGTCAGTCTTGTTTATAACCTGCAGTAAATTAAACATGAGCGAGGCTATTTCAGCAAGGACCATCATTAAAGCTATGGCAATAAAATGAAATATACATACAAGAAGGTCTGCTTGGGTGATGCCGGGTCCTCCCTTGCGTGGAATCTTATCTCCAGCAGATACATCTATTATGTAAATGATGTAGTCTGCCAGTTCCCTGCTAAAATTGGCTGCTAAATTGTCTGTGCGAAATATGCACACATTTGTATAAGCAATTAGAGTGTGTCCCAGGCAATGTTTTGACCTTTTACTTTAGATATCATAATTTGCACACAAGCATGTATAAAGTTGCTATCAACACCTACTGGAAATTAGCAAATAAAGAGTTATGAGTATACATTATATATGTTGAGTAAAGATCATACTTAATACATAGCTTAGATGACAAACATCGACTTTAACTTTTGTCGCTCTCATGTTTGAACCTTACAGCTGTTACAGGGCAAAGGGAGGGTCCCATGTGGCATATGTATTTTCTTAGGAACACTTTTTAATAGATCCAACTTAGGATGGATTGATTTATAATAAGGGAAAGGAACTTGGATCCGTCCACTTCCCACCCCTTATTGGTTTTTACGTTATACAAAATGGATCCATCTCTCTCCCTCTCTTTTCTTTCTTTTCAGGTTCTCTAATCCAAAAAGGCAAAAAAATAGTAAGTTTTTCATTCCTCATCATACTTCCCAAGTTCCTACCTCTTTTTTTTTTAATTTAATTACACGAACCCATTAGTCCTTTTTGTATCATGATAGAACTTGTTTTGCAATGTGGTAGAGAGAGTATACTATGGAGTACATCAGTGACATAATTGTGTTCTACATAGGATTTGGACCATACTTTAAAATAAATAATACAGGGTGGTTAAAAGTGGGTAGATATGAATAAAAAAAATTGAAAGTGGATAGAGAAGGAAGTAGTAAGAGCCTAAGAGGTCATGTAGAAATTATGAGATACAAAGGGTTGATACATTGGAGAAGGTAGAGGTAGCAAGCAAAACGGTGGACTTACATCAGTGGTGATAATTTAGTCAAAGCAGATAAAAATAATTAAGATAGTATTGGGACATCCAAAATTGTTTAAATTGAAATAAATGAGTCAAAGGGAGTATTTAGAATATTATTTGTGACTAGCTTACAAACAATAATGAAATTCTTGGAAAGTTGAAGACGAAGACATAGATATGTGAAGTACATCACACAAAATCATAAACCAAGGCCCTAGCAAATACCTGATAAATCACAACAGAAGCATTCATACAAATGAGCATCTCAAAAAGTAAGAATGCCAATTGTAAGGCTAGATACTATTAATCTCCTTTCTCCTTTTTTTTTTTTTTTTTTTTTTTAATTTTTTTAATGCAGGGGACAGCTCACATATCAGTATACCACAAATTATGAATCAGAGATCTATTGCAATCACACAGGCAAGATTTATAGTTTTTTATTCTATTTCATGCCGAATAATGTTCCTCTTCCCCAATCCTGTAATCCTAATAGACTATGATCTCAATATTCACCAATAACCAATAAAAAGAGTGACATACTTGTACAGATACTAGCAGATGATAAGATGTTCAGCCATATAAGACATCAATTACGTAGAAGACAACGCATTATTACCTCCACCAGATTCACAAAGAAGTATGTCTGCTTTGTATAAATTTGAAAGCTCTTCAAGAGGACCAAGATTTATGCTAATATCTTCACGAATTGCAGCATGTGGACAGCCGCCAGTTTCGACTGCACGTATCCTTTCCTCTGGAAGTGCACCATGCTTTATTAAGAATTCTCCATCTTCCTTTGTAAAGATGTCATTAGTCACCTACATCACCACAAATGTTTTTCCATTACAAGGTGACATAGACAATATATTCAATATGCAATTTTTCAAATATGAATGCACCCGCTATCTCAGCCAAAGACCTGAACCCGAAGTCGTTCAATACTTTAGTCTCTTCTCAGATAACATATCTCCAAAACCAGTTGGTGTATTGGTAGCAAGACTCAAACCACAAACTTGCTTGTGTGGAGATATTACTAAAGCTAATTAGTGCTATACACTTAGATTTTAGACAGGAGATTAGTTCCAATGAGAAGCTGCTTACTCTAAGAAGCATCTTGTGTAGTTCAGGAGCCTACTAATTATGAAATACAAGTAATTTATTTATGCAGCGTTCAATTAAATTTTTGATTGTTACTAATGTTTAATCCCAAGTACTAAAATTAATTTAGTTAAAGGTAGTCTTTGAAACCATTATACAGTGGAAAGAAATTAATGTTCGTTTGTCCTCATTATAATAGCTTTTGGTTAGAGAAACAATAAGTGGAAATCAACAAGTAAAAAATTTCACTCAAAGTTTCCATTTACAAAAATAAAATAAAAATTCCTGACTAAGATTATAATATACCATCATTCAAAGCTAATGGGCAATATTTTTTCACATATAATTGAGCTAATAATTCATGAAGACAAATCGGCACTTCATATTTTACTGAATATATTCCCCCAACTGTATGCTGAATTTTGCCATAGGCTTCTATAACTTAAAAGGCCAAAATTTGTATCCCTAAAATTTGCCAGTTCATAAGAGGGTAAATATAAACGGCAGATAACCAGGCTCAAATTTTAGAATGAAGCTTGGTATCTTGACTGCAAGTCTGCAACATTTTCCGAGGAATTAAAAATATTTCTAAAACAAAAACAGACACATCCATATATGTTCTTGATAAAACAATAGCATTTTATTCCACCAAGTAATGATCCACTTGATTTACATCCTGTTAAAAAATATTCCCAATGTAATACCCGTTTAATCCCATTGACAAAGAGCTATGTAGAATCAGTCAGTCATTGTTCAAAAAAAAAATGTAAAATCAGTCAAACACCAACATAATAATGATCAGGAATCTCATGCAGTACATATTTAAAAACACAGTCCTAACCAGTATCCAGAGAGTTAATGCTTCTTAACATTGGGACATTAAGAGATGCAATTGAGCTTACTGCAGCAAGACTATATTTGTCCCTCAAACACTTGCACAAAGCCAGCATCAGAGCTGTTTTCCTGCATACAATACACCAGAATATTTTCAGAATTACATTGCTTCCCACTTCTCAAGTTCTCAGTAAAGTTAGGAGTAGGACAAATTATTCTTCTTCTAACAGCTGCAGATTCATAGCAATTCAGAAAATGAGTAAAAAAGTATAAGGTAGAGTATTATACACGCTTATATACCTAGAAACTAGCACTTAAACCCATCTTTGACAAGAAACAAGCGATCTTCCTTACAGATTATCTAACAGTTGTTCTCCCATTCTTTCTCAGTTTCTCAAGGTTTGACATACAGTCATGGTGGTAGGCCTGATAGCATTTCAAGTTGACATACAGTGAGGTCAGTGACAGTCAACCAAATCCTATCAGGAAAGACTATTTTTCTGAGCGTAATCTTCTTTACTCTTTTCAGGAAGCCATTATCTCTTTATCATGGATTTCCTGTTCTTTCCGAAAGTAGTCGTCACTGGAACATGTCATTTAAGCTAGGAAAGGATGTAGGTCAGTCAATTATCTATCCCTTCAAGAGTAATGAAAATGGCCATCTTTGTGATCATAAGGGTAAGGCTAGAATCCCTGCACACTTGTAGCCTTGTAGGAGTAAAAATATTAGTCTAAACTAAGGTTGGCATTGGACCGGAATGATATTAGTAATGGACTCCCAATCTCCCATGGCCCAGGACATAGAGATCCACAACTGTGCATGACAATGGCCCTCATATGATTGTGTTAGGTTGACTGCATAGTGTTTGTCCTAGATTAATTTTCACATTTATTAAGAAAGATGGACAATGCCTAATAAAAAAGAATTTTAGTGAAGTTGATTTAGTACATATTCTTGAAGTAATTACACAAGTGGACATTAGTAGCGAAAACTAATGAATTTGTGTGTAAATTTGTAAGAAAAGCTCATATTCATTAATCATTACCATGCTATGCAACTTCCCCTAAACATGTGTGATTCTTCATAATTTATCATTACAATTAAACATGTGTGATGTGTTATGCCATAAAACTTCCCCTAAACATGTGTGATTCTTCATAATTTATCATTACAATTAAACATGTGTGATGTGTTATGCCATAAAACTTCCCCTAAACGAAAGGAATACCGTCTTTCAAGTGAAAATGATTTTTTATGAAAAAAACAAATAGGATAATGATTCACATTACCATAGATAATGACATGATTTTCATCTAAAATAAACACACAAATTCATGGCCCATCTTACCAAACAAGCCGTTAGAGTATACATAGTAGTTAGTATAATTAAAATTTAAAATTGGGGCACTAGGCTAACAATTAACCAAGTTACCTAAGTCCAGTCCCTCAACTAAAACCAAGACAATCATTATGAATCACAGGAAGAACTAAAAAAATACACCTTTGATCCAAAATTAAACTAATGTATTGGTACAAAGATGAATTTGAACTAGTAACGTGACAAATTAATCCGGATAAACGGAGTAAACTCCGTACCCAAAAGAGCACCTCACAGCACCAACCGGCCCACAACCGACCAACAGCACAGCCCACTAAAGTACAACCCACATTGTACATTCCCCACAACTTAGGTGGAGGAACAACCCCACCAGCCACCACCACCACGCACTACCGTGCCGTGCCGTACCGGTGGTGGAGCCTTATCAGATCCACTACATCAATAAAATACCATAGTACTCCATATTTGACAAACAATGTATGATAATAATGGGTAAACTATATAGTATAGCATTAAATAATAACAAAGCCTACCCTACTCATGGGATTAAGGCGATCAAGTAGAAGAAGAAGCGAAGATTAAAAAAGAAGAAAATCAATTGAAAACATAAAAGAAAATGAAAAATAAAGATTACCCAGTACCAACAGGACCCCCAATACCAACAGTAAAAGCTCTTTCATGAAAATCTCTGGTAATCAAAGGAGGAGCTCTTCTGCTGAAATACCCAGGTGAGTAAATGGGTTCATGACTATGTGGTGCTAATCCATCATGGCTGTGATTTACTTTTCCATCACGATATGTGTATTCAATTCCTTCTTTTTCCCTGTATTATAAATTACATATAAAATTTAAAAATCAGAATTTTGTTTGAATTACGAGTGAAAAAAGATGCAGAAAATAAAAATCAATTCCAACAAAATTGAAGAATTGAAGAAATTGGTTTTGTTGTTTGAGTGGTTAGAAGTGAAAAATTACTCGTGGGTGTGATGATGATGGTGGTCATGAGAGTGAGAATCTGGGTGACGATTTTGGGAATCCATTGTAAATCAGTGAGATAGTGAAAGTGAAACTGTGAAATGACGAGATATAATGCTTGGTTTATGTGGTCACTAATGCTTGGTTCATCAGACAGTTCAGTAAACATTAAACGCACATGCATGTCGTGATAAACACTACAAAAACTTTTGTATACACCCGTTTTACACTAATTTTACTGTACATCGAGTAGTATAAGGGTAACTTTTACCTAATTTTAGGGTAACTTTTTGCCTTTTTTTGGGTAACTTTTAACATAATACAATTTTTATATAAATAGACAATAAAAAAAGTTTTATAATGGTAATTTAATTACATTTAATCACAAATAATTCATTTTTAGTCATTTAAAATGTGATTCTTTACTAATAATTTTTATTTATATTGGATTACTTTTATGCATATTAGGGCAACTTTTATTTATTTTAGGGGTAACTTTTAGTCAATCTAGTCTATTTGTATAGTGGATGTACAATAAATTATTGTACACCCCATTTTTTAAAAAGTTAGGGTAAACCCTACGGAGTACTTGACTTGAAAGCGAAATTTCAGCGTAAATGCGCAATTATGGTGCTCAATTATATTGATCGACAAAAATACCCACCCCTCTTACAAAGATATTTTTGGATGAGAGTTTGGAGTCAACTTGTGTCCAAAGAAGATGAAACCTGTTTAGCTATATTTGTGTAGTTGTATTTTGAAAATGTTTCAAGCGTTATCCTTCACAACTATCCCAATGGTGTAGTAGTTCATTGATTCTTGATCCGTGTTAGAAATTTTAAAGAACATCTCATTATTTGCAAATACCGTGAGTTCTTGTAATAATTTTCTCTCTAAAATTAATTTCTCCTAAAAATAATTTAATTTAAGATTTTATTTTCAAATATCGAATTTAAAACTTTATTTACAAAATTTCGGTTTTCTAAATATTTTATTTCAGTTGTATTATTTCACCAACTTTTTATTTTTATATAAGGATAATTTGAAAATTACCACCATCTATTGTTATCATTTTGTATAATACCACGTCAAGTTTTTTTTTTTTTAAAAAAAAAATTGTATTTTACCACTTAGTTTTATAAAAAAAACTACCACCACTTTTGCCGACTCTCTTATATGACGTCATGGTGGGTCCCACTAATTTTTCTAAAAATTTACAAAAAAAAAAATGATAATTAATATACAGAAAAAAAAAACATAGAATTAATAAATTATATTGAAAATTAAGGGTCAAATTCAAATAATATAAGAGATAAATTCATACTCCATCCGTTTTTAAATACTTGCTCCATTTCTCACAATGCGCGGAGTTTTAGGAGAAATTGGAGAAAATAATAATATATGGAGGTAGTGTGGTAAGTGGAAGAATAAAAAATTGTAAAAAACAAAAGTAGTGTAGAGGATTGAAGGAGAGAAAATATGTGGTGGGTCCACTAGGTGAGAGAAATTAGTTACATATTGTAAAAACTTTCCAAATAAAGAAATGGAACAAGTATTAAAAAACGGCCAAAAAAGAAAAGTGGAGCAAGTATTTAAAAACGGAGGGAGTTTAACGTAGACACTAAAATACGTACAAGTTTAACAATAAGAACAAGTACTTTGAAGAGCACATACATAAGGGGTAAAAGAAAATAACAAAATGATCAAATAAATCTAATACCCAAAAGAATACAAAGGAACAAACAACCTAAGCATAAAAAACTTATTATTCAAGTAAAAGATCCTACTTTGAATTATTTATACCCCAAATATTGTTATTAATCTACACACATACACTAAAGACCATAATTTATTTATAATATAAGGAACATATGGTTCATATCCAAAGAACATAATGATCAAATTCAAAGAACATATTATGCTCATGTTCTTTGTAAATGTATATAATGTTCTTTTATTGCTAATGTTCTTTGGTGCACCTAGTGTACCATAGAAATTCATTTCCTTAATTAAGATTTGCGCTAAAATTAGGGTGATGTCCCCAATCATCATAAATTTATAAGTTTGATCCAATTTATAACAAATGAACATCACTTAAATTCATTCATGCATTCAAATTGAAGCATTAGTTGATAAATTCAAAAATAACGCTCCAAAAATGACTTACTTATCAGAAGAGAAAATAGCCTCCAATCTGCAATTTGGCCTTCAATACAAATCTAATAGCACATAAGTAAGCAAAAAGTAATTAACACTAATTTAAAAAGTATTCGGCACATAAATTAAAATAAATGAAATTTTAAGCTACACACCATAATAATTTACCTCGGAGGGTTTTGATGGCAGATTAACTACAATAGTCTAGCAAGATAGGAAGGGTCGGGTTAATGGTCAAATTTATTTCACTATGACGGGAACAAATAATGGTTTCCTTATTTTTAAGCAAAAATAAGATACATCGGTTACAAAAATTAAACACAAATGAGCAGCATTATATAGTTCAATTATTCAATCCACATAATTAGCTAAAAATTAATGAGTCTTTTCCATGCTCACTGAGTCACTGGAATTATTGACCAAACGTTATAATAAAAAAAATGACGTAAACAATAATGGTTTAATTTTCCATTTAAAGTTTTGACCAAAAAAATACAAAACATAAAATATATATAAAGACCAAATTCAAATGAATATTGACATTTAGTTCAATCATTCAATAAATTAGCCAAAAATTGAAATTAGCCCACCAATTACCAAATTAATCAGGCACTATTCCTTGCTCCAATTGAAGATTGATAACTATTACGAAGGGTAAATCAAGCATAACAATTAAATGGAAATAAACTTAAACAGTAAAGCTATTAAATTAGTCAAAAATTAGAATAGGCCTATCAATCACCAAATTAAATTAGGCACTAATTTTTGCTCTAAACATCCAATTGAAGATTGATGATTATTATTAAGAGTAAATCAAGCAAAACAATTAAATGAAAGAAGGCGGTGGGACCATTTCATATTGAGAAAAAGATGGAACACATGGGATGTCACATAATACACATGTGGCGCCTAGTCATTTTGTGGGAAGGTGACACATGGCGATTCCATGTTGTCTTTTTGAATTTTAATCTATTACCAAACACTAAGACAAAACATGTTGATCAAAGGTCAAGCCTCTCTTCTCCTCTTCTCTCTTCTTCTTTTCTAGGGTTTCTCCAAATTCTTGGTTGTTTAGGCCAGAAATAGTCTAAGAAGAAATTAGACTATTTCTGACCCCTTTTCCTTAATTTTCATTAGTTTTGCAATTTAGTTTATACTAAATCTACACAAGTATTGTAGATATTCGTTCGTCTCCGTATGGTGGAGTGTCTCTTTATGGTGTAGTAGTTAGTTTTTGGTTGTTTTTTTTGTTTAGAGTTTTTCAGTGTGTTAGGGTTTATGAAAAAGGTAATCATCTTCTACCTTATTATCTATTCGTTGGTAAAGAGTTGTGTGAGATTGCAACGGTTAGGGGTGTTAAAAAAAAAACCCGACCTGAAATACCTGACCCGATGACCCGCTGTCCTGACTAAAAAAACCGGGTAATAAAATGAAATTATATGAAATTATCGGGTCGGGTACCCGACCCGAAAAAAAAACCAGCTAGTGGGACGGGACATGGGCCGACTGTTTGTGTTTGACGGGTACTCGAAAACCCGCATAGCTATTTTTTTAGAATTTATTATTGGATTTTTATTGTTTTACATCACTTATAGAATAGAAATGGGCCAGCCCACTATATTTGTCTCTTAGCTTAGGGTTTCAAACCAATTTCAAATGCCTCCATTTCTTTTTCTCTCTCCTTAATTGAACTTCTCATTCCTCTGTTAGTTGAGACGATTAATACAAGAGGGGGGTGAATTGTATTGAGTTCCTAATAACTGCTTTTTGCGGATAAATAAACAATGCATATAGGAACTTGCTAAAACACACATATTTTACGAGGAAACCATCCAGGGCCCAACTAGAAGTAAAACCTCGACCCTACCTTAGGGATTTCAAACACAAATCACTTCACTATAATAGGGCAAACACCAAGTTACAACCTATTAGACACGGACCTTTATTTCACAAGTTCCTCACTGGACTTGCTACTTGATAGGACCCTATCCTACTCAATCTAAGTACCACACTTAGATTCACTCGTACCACCAAAGTACTACACGTACTGCCAAAGTACAACTACTCGTACCACCTAAGTACAAAACTCACAGCTTCACCTAGAAGCCAACACAAAACTGTATATAAAACAAACTATAAATTCACCCAAACAACCCAACCAATACAAATATATGACACCTATTATGATAGGTAAGCAATGCACAAAATTCGAAACTAATATGAAAAGTTAGAAGCTTGGTAAACTTACTCAATTATAGCACTGTGATTTCTCCACGCATAAACTCACAAAAACTTAAACTCATTTTGCTCTCTACTATTTATACAAGTAACACTCGTATAGAAAGTAGGTTTTCTAAAAGATAAATAAGTTAACTTATCTTTAAACACGGCTTTATGTAAATCCAGTGAGATGAAATATTTTCCAAAAATAAGATTAAAAAGATATTTATTAGAAGACTTATCTTTTTAACAAACCGATTTTAAAGAAAATAATCTTTTTAGAAAATCTTTTTCCTAAAATCTATCTTTTATTATTTTCCATATTTATTTTATTTACCAAGAAAACTTATCACGTTTCTAATAAATTTCGTGCACTAACCTACTTAATATATTAACAATAATTTATAAGATAAAAACCTGAACTAAATATTATTACTGCGCCGCACTTTGATCAGGTAGATTACTTGGGCTTCAAGCATATTAAGTTCCACCAAAGAACTTAAACTGCTTGTCTTCAAGTTCCTGTTAGGGAACTTAAATCTTGTTAGAGAACTCTTCCTCTGATTTGTTTAACTTCTTCAATAAAGATCTTCTTCATGTCTTCTTAGTTTCATATGGTTCTTCAATCACCAAGATCAATCTTCACCTAGACTAGTCACACACTAGAGAATCTTTATTAGTTGAGTTTGCTTTTAGTTCAAGTTCCTCATCATCAAAACCATTATGCTTCAACAATTTCCCCCTTTTTGATGATGACAAACTTAAGCAA